TTCAAAAGGGTGTCCTGTTAAAAATGTTTGGATGGTATACAATGAAAAATAATTTTAAATGTATAGTTGCTAAAAAAGACATATAGAATTTATTATATGTATAATTTGATTTATTAAAAAATATATAAACAGTGGCATAAATTTTAAAATTGTTAATAATATAGATAATAAAAAAATATAAAATTTTATATGTTGAATAATATATATAATAAACATGTATAAATAAATTTTAAATATCAAAATATATAAAAATTATTTTTTAATATGAAAATAACTTATTCTTTTCTCCTTGGAACACTGACAAAATGATGATGAAAATAACGTAAGAGACTAGAGTTGTATGTGAGTTTTGTGATCCGTAATAACAAGTGAAGAACAAAGGTAATATAAAAAGTTTAGAAATTTTATTTATCTCGTCACATGTTCAACTAGCTTTTCCAAATGCAAAAGTAACTCCAATGTGTCTTTACAGAATGGATTTTCAACAATATTTGAAATGCATATTAGGAATGTATTTTTATTTTTAAAATTTTATTCAAACAACATTTGGCTTTTAAAAATAGTAAAAGCATCTTTCAAAAGCTAAATGTAAGATATCAAAACAGGTTTTAAAGATATATTATATTTTTTAATTTTTAATCTCTTTAAAAATATTTTATAATTTTAAATAAAAGGATTAATAAAAACTAGAGAAAGTTTTATGTAATGATCATTTCATTACATTCTTTATAATTATTTGAACCGGACGGGCAGTAAGGGATAGGGATAGGGGCAGGGAGAATACAAGAAATGAGGGTATTTTAGGAATATTATTTTAGTTGAAGCTTCCCCGGGAGAAGCCTCCGTTTTACTCTTACTTATAAAATTTTATCCGATTGGTGGACCAGAGTACTGGTTGACGTCATGTTATCCTTTCTTTATCAATGGATTCATGAAGCTGCCCGCCTCTAGCACACTTCTAGATAGAAGTCAGCTTTCACACTGTTCATACACGTGTAGTACTACGAAGCACCCGTGTTTAATTTATTATTATTTTTTGGTGAAACCGTGTTTAAATTTAAGTTAGTTTCTTGGGTATTAAAACGTTTTGTATTTTATAAGTATTTTTTACTTGACATTTCAAAACATTGAATCTACTCCAATGTCTATTCTATATTTTTTTTCTCAATAAATCTTATACAAGCCACCGTGGTGTATTAACTATTAATTCTTTTTGGTACCAGTTTATTTTTGATCAGTCCTAGGTGTTTTTTCATTGGAAGCAAATTTCCACAAGGCATGGGCGAGTGTTAAATATAAGCTTTCTTTTAAATAAAAATTTAAATCTTAATTTATTATGTTATGAAATACTAACTCATTTTATTAAATTTAATTTTTTAATTTTTTAAATCAATTTATTCTTTATTAATTACTCATTCCCTTTTTATTTATAAAAAAAATTATCATTTTTAATTTATTTTTTATATAAATAAATTACGTATTTCAATAAATATTTATTATAATTTCTTAAATCATTCTTATAATTTCATCATTCATAATCACAGAAAATAATTAACTAAAAATATTTTAATTTAATTTTGTTTATTTTCACACATAATTAATATAATTAATTAATTTTTTAAAAAATTATGTGATATAATTTTTTTCTACAAATAAAAATAGATGAAGACAATCAAAAAAATTCTAATTTAAAGATAAATTTTCTCCATGTCTCATTACATGAAAAATTATTTAATTTAAGTTGCCCTAAATCATTTTTTTCTATTAAAAAAGAATTTAGATGACTTTGATTTTGAGAATTCATCTTGCCAATCTAATTTAAAGGGACAATGAAAGTTTAGTCCCAAAATAAAATTAATGAGGGGCAGGTCTGTGGTAAAATTTTTTAAAGAATAAATTACGTATATTGATTTAAATAATTATAAATTTAAAAGTTATAATTACAAATAAAAAAATTTAATTTAATTTTAAATTTACTAATCCTCAATTTTCAATAGGAATTCTCATTTGTGACTTTCATGATCAATATTTATAAATTTTTAAATAAAATTTTATTAAAGACCTAATGGTGATTAATTTGTTGTTTTCAAGACTTTTCAATGGCTCAAATAATTAATAATTTCGTCTACGACGATGCCATCGCGCAGCCCTGGGTTGCCCCTATTCCAGGGAAGGAGACAAAACAATAGTCATGTTCGGTCATCATCCCACTGCCCTGTGTTAGAAGCAAACTCAATCCTCTGACGCTTTCATTTCTCTCTCAAATTTTAATCCTATCACGCTCCCACCATGCCAATTTCTTTTTTCTTTTTAACCTGGACATGCCACAATAATTCACACTTGTTTATCGGTGTATAATTTCAAATATATTCTTTATTATTTTTTTTTCAAAAAATGTATTTTTTTAATTAAATTATATACCCGTACATAAAGAAATTACACACTCATCGTCAACGGACTGATATAAATGTCTAACAAACAAACAAAAATCTTCCAAGATATCAAGTCTCACTGGAGCTTCCCGATCGTCAATAATGGAGGCCTGGTTCATGTTCATCATCCTCGTCTCTGTCTGTCTCTGCCTCTTGATCACTCTTCTCTTTTCCTCCCATTCCAAGACTTCCCGCCATCCTCTCCCACCTGGTCCTCTTCGTGTTCCCATCATCGGCTCTGTTTTCTGGCTCCGCCGATCCTTCACTGAGCTTCAACCGATTCTCCGAAGCCTTCATGCCAAATATGGCCCCATCGTTACTCTGCCCATAGGTTCTTGTCCTTCTGTATTTATATCTGATCGATCCCTCGCCCACAAAGCCTTGATCCAGAACGGCGCCGTCTTCTCCGACCGCCCCAAGTCTCTCGCCACCAGTAAGGTCACCAACAGTAATCAACACAGCGTCACCTCCGCTTTCTACGGCCCCACATGGCGCCTCCTCCGCCGCAATCTCGCCTCCGAGATGCTCCACCACGCTCGGATCCAATCCTTTTCCGGTACCCGGAAGTGGGTCTTGCACACGCTTCTCAACATCCTCCAGTCTGACTCCGAATCAGGAAAGTCAATCAAGGTCATTGATCATCTCCAATATGCCATGTTTTGCTTGCTGGTCTTCATGTGTTTTGGTGAGAAACTCGATGACAAGCAGATAAAGGATATAGAGTATGTTCAGAGGCGTTATCTTCTGAATTTTGACAGATTCACTGTGCTTAACTTCTGGCCAAGACTCACCAAGATAGTGCTCCACAAGCGTTGGGAGGAACTGCTGCGAATTCGGAAGGAACAGGAAGATGTGTTGGTTCCATTGATCAGAGCGAGAAAGAGAGCGAAGGAGGAGAACATTAATAAACCAGCTGATGAAGTTATAGTGCCATATGTGGATACCTTGTTGGATTTACAGTGGCCTGAGGAGAAGCGAAAGCTTGATGAAGGTGAGATAGTGTCTCTATGTTCTGAGTTTATAAATGCAGGCACTGATACAACCTCCACGGCACTGCAATGGATCATGGCGAATTTGGTGAAATACTCACATGTGCAACAGAAACTTGTGGAAGAAATCAAACAAGTCATGAGAGATAGAGAGGAAAAGGAAGTGAAAGAGGAAGATTTGAATAAACTGCCATATCTCAAAGCTGTGATCTTGGAGGGCTTAAGGCGTCACCCACCTGCACATTTTGTGTTGCCACACGCAGTATCAGAAGATGTAGTTTTCAACAATTATCTGGTTCCAAAGAATGGGACTGTCAACTTCATGGTGGCAGAGATGGGTTGGGACCCTAATGTGTGGGAAAGTCCTATGGAGTTCAGGCCAGAGAGATTCTTCAACAGTGAGGGAGAAGCATTTGATATTACAGGGAAGAAAGAGATAAAGATGATGCCATTTGGAGCAGGAAGAAGAATGTGTCCGGTTATAATCTAGCTATGCTTCTCTTGGAATATTTTGTGGCCAATTTGATCTGGAATTTTGAATGGACAACTCCAAATGGAGGTGAAGTTGATTTGACAGAGAAAGAAGAATTCACTGTGGTGATGGAAAATCCATTAGAAGTCTGTGTATCTCCTAGGTCTTAGAGCAATCATCTAGTTGAGCCTTTGTGTTAGAGACGCCAATTTGTGGCCCATGTACCGCTACTCCAGTATTGTAATATTTTGTTACTTCAACTTCAGTTTCTGAATTGGATGCCAAATCTGTGTGCTTACATTAATTAGCACCTTCATTTGAAGCCTTAATATTCAGCTCCTCCTGTCCGTATTATAAAACTGATTTTAAAAGATATACTCGGTCCGCATTATAAATCACTGACAGTTAAGTACTTTTCATTTTAAAATAAAATTTAAAAAATATTCATTCACTTTACTCCGCCTTCATTCTGCTGGCGTGCTCTCTCTCACATTCTGTCTTTAGCTTTTTCTCTCACCGTCTACTTTTTCTGTACAATATTATGAGAGAAAATTATTTAAAAAATAATATTATATTATTTAGATTACTTTTTAATTTTTTTATTTGTAGGTTAGTTTTAAAATTTCATTTATAATTATTTTTTATATTATTATTGCATTAATATTAATAAAATTGATAGATATAATTTATAAATAGATATTTTATATGCAAGTATGGCAAATAAATAAATAAATACATACATACATACAGAGAATATATAATCTCTCTCACACACAAGAGATTGCATGTGAGTATATTTATTACACGAATTAACATCTGAGTAGTTTTTCCCAAGAATTTTCAAAACTCCCGGGCACACGATTTACTAAAATTTTAATTATATGTGGAATGAAATTATGCGTCCATTTATGCATTTTGTTAAGTAAGCAGCTCAAGAAATTGTCTTCATTGAAGTGTGTTGTCACTGCTGCAACTCACGACTACCACATATTAGACTTTACTATATTTATCTTTCACAAACGCGGTACAAATCTTGGTCTAAAATTTCTCTAATTGAGGGCTAAAAAGCCAAAGCCTTTTACTGGCTCATACTCTCCCAACCGTGATCATGGGGTTGTGGTTGATCGTCTTTGTCACAATCTGTCTCTGTTTTTCCATCAGAGCTCTCATCAATCTTCTCTCTCCCTCTTCTTCTTCTTCTTCTTCCTCTCCTCTCCCTCCTGGTCCTCTCCGGGTTCCCATCATCGGCAGTCTCATATGGCTGAGCAGATCACTCAGCGAACTCGAACCCATTCTTCGAAAGCTTCATGCCAAATATGGACCCATCGTCACTCTCCCAATCGGTTCTCGTCCTGCCATATTCATCGCCGATCGATCTATGGCCCACCAGGCACTTATCCAAAACGGCCTCGTCTTCTCCGATCGTCCCAAGGCCCTCGCCACCGAGAAGATCCTCAACAGCGACCAACACAACATTATCTCCGCCTCCTACGGCCCCAAATGGCGTCTCCTCCGTCGCAACCTCGCCTCCGAGATGCTTCACCCGGCGAGAATCAGATCGTTCTCGAGCATACGTAAATGGGTTTTAGATTTGCTAGTGACTCGACTTATAGTTGATTCAAAATCCAGCAATCCCATTGGAGTGCAAGACCATATCCAATATGCTATGTTCTGCTTGCTGGTGTTCTTATGCTTTGGTGACAAGTTAGACGACAAGCGAATCAAAGATATTGAATGCGTTCAGAGGAATATACTTTTGAGTCTAAGAAGATTCAGAACACTAAATTTCTGGCCAGCAATTACTCGAGTACTGCTCCGCAAGAAGTGGGAGAAGTTCTTGCAGATTAAGCAGGAACAGAAAGACGTGTTGATTCCATTGATAAGAGCAAGAAAGAAACTAAAGGAAGAGAGATCAAACCAAGAACAAGATGACAATAATGATAATGACGATGATAATAATGCGACAGAAGAACACATAGTGTCATATGTGGATACTCTGTTGGATTTGGAATGGCCTGGGGAGAAACGAAAACTCAATGAAGGTGAAATGGTTTCAATATGTTCGGAGTTTCTAAACGCAGGAACAGATACTACTGCTACTGCATTACAATGGACTCTGGCATGTTTGGTGAAGTACCCACAAATTCAACAGAGGCTTGTGGATGAAATAAGAGATGTAATGGGTGAGAGAGAGGACAAGGAAGCGAGAGAAGAAGATCTGAGCAAAATGCCATATCTCAAAGCTGTGATCTTGGAGGGACTCAGACGTCACCCACCTGCACATTTTGTGTTGCCACATGCTGTGTCAAAGGACATGGTGTTCAACAGTTACTTGGTACCCAAGAATGGGTCTTTGAATTTTATGGTGGCAGAGATGGGGTGGGACCCAAAGGTGTGGGAGAATCCAATGGAGTTCAGGCCTGAGAGATTCTTGAGCACTGAGAAAAATAATGATAATAATGGTGAAACATTTGATATTACAGGAAGCAGAGAGATAAAAATGATGCCTTTTGGCGCAGGGAGAAGAATGTGTCCAGGTTATGCATTGGCACTGCTTCATTTGGAATACTATGTGGCCAATCTTGTATGGAAATTTGAATGGAAAGCTTGTGACGATGTTGATTTGTCAGAGAAAGTAGAATTTACAACAGTAATGAAACATCCATTGCAAGTTCGTTTGTGTCCTAGGTTTTAGATTTAGACCTGTAAGAGGAATACATCAGATTCATCCTTTCTACTGATGCTCAATTAATTAATCATCCATGTACGTGATATATGGATATTGTTTCCAAGTTTGTGTCTTTTACGTGAACTTCATTTAGCGGGTAGCTTGTGGAGTTTGTGTGAATATGAAATTGAGCAATTTTGTTTGGATAGGAGAAGCAATTTCTTCCTCTGGATCTAGAGATGAGATATTCATTCATGAATGTAATGAACATCCACAGTTATTTGGTTTTTTTAATCAATGAACAAGCACGTTTCAATTGTATCATAGTATCTTGCATTCCATTATCAGAACAGAGCAATGTTGTCTTTATTAAAGCATACAAATGATTCATATTGCTAGCCTTGCTCAAACTCACATCCATATCGTATTACGGTGATTACTAATTTTTGCAATAAAGCTTCTTTACATGCGGCACATGGCTTCCATTATTACTCTGACGTTAGAATTTTGGATCTATCCAATTAATTGCCAAGTATGTTTCACCCATTTCCGGAAACCTAACCTGCACAAGGTTTTTTAGGGGAGAATGTCAACGAGGGCCCTAAAAATCAAGCTAATAGCATGTAGGGATCAAATCATTTTGAAATTATTTTGCAAGCTTAAGAGTCCAAATTGCAATCAATTTTGTTTGTCCAATTACTAAAACATCTTTACCTTTTTTTTTTTTTTGTGTTTTGTTAATGACCAGTCAAATGTGTCAAGGGATCAAGGGTGGATTTAAACCCTTTATTCCCCAAAATGAAAAAAATCATTGAACCAACAAACACTTTAATATGTATAGTGCAAAATTATTTATATATATATATATATATATATATTATAACTTTAATTTTGAAGTATTTTTACTTGTTATTGCATATCTTATATATCCTGTTTTGTATATATAAACATTCACTTGAGCATATTCAAAAATCACTTGCTCATATATGAAAAGAATTGTTAATTTTTTAAAACTTAATTTATTCTATTTTTCACAATTTGTTCATTCAATGTTAACAAGGTATCAATATTATGCCAAATAAAAATATATATGTTATAAATTTATTTTTCAAGCATTTTTACAAGTTTTTTTTAATCATGGACATCTTGTTATATATATCTGAACAATCACTTATACAAATTTAAATATCATTTGTTCATACATAAAAAAGTTGTCAATTTTTTAACCTAATTTATTCTATTTTTCACAACTTGTTCCTTCAATATTAACAAGTTGTCAATATTATACTAAATAAAAACAGTATATCTTATAAATTTATTTTCAAATGTTTTCACAAGTTTTTATTAATCATGGACGTCTCGTTGTCTATATTTGAATAATCACTTGGGCATATTCAAATATTATTTATTCATGCATAAAAAAATTGTCAATATTTTTAAACTCAATTTATTCTATTTTTAACAACTTATTCTTTTAATGTTAATAAGTTATCAATATTATATTAAATAAAAAAATTATATGTTATAAATTTATTTTTCAAACATTTTCACAAGCTTTTGTTAATCATGAATGTTTTATTATGTATATCTAAATAATCACTCATACATATTCAAATATTACTTATTCATATGTAAAAAGAGTTGTCAATTTTTTCAAACTCAATTTATTCTATTTTTCACAACTTATTCCGTCAATATTAACAAGTTATCAATATTACACTAAATTTTAAAAAAAATATATGTTATAAATAGAATAAATTAGGTTTCAAAAAGTTGATAATTTTTGTGTGTGAATAAGTGATGTTTGAATAAATACAAGTGATTGTTTAGATATACATAACAAGACATTTATGATTAACAAAAGGCCATGAAAATACTTGTAAAATAAATTTATAATATATACTTTTTTATTTAACATAATGTTGATAATTTATTAACATTGAAGGAACAAATTATAAGAAATAAAATAAATTAAGCTTAAAAGAATTAACAACTTTCTTTATATATGAACAAGTGATGATCAAATTTACACAACTGAATGTTCATATGTACACAACAAGATATTTAGGATATATAATGAATATACTTACAAATGAAAGTTAGTGGGTGTGCGTATGTGTGTGCGAAAAAGTATATGCTATAAAGAGAATAAAATTGGGTTTTAAAAAATTGATAATTTTTTTGTTTGAATAAGTGATGTTTGAATAAACACAAGTGATTGTTTAGATACATACAACAAGATGTTTATAATTAACAAAAGGTCATGAAAATACTTGTAAAATAAAATTATAACATATATTTTTTTATTTAACATAATGTTAATAATTTGTTAACATTGAAGGAATAAATTATGAAAGATAGAATAAATTAAGTTTAAAAAAATTAAAAATTTTTTTTATGTGTGAACAAGTATGATCAAATATGTATAACTGAATATTCATATATATACAATAAAATATTCAAGATATATAATAATGAATATACTTAGAAATGAAAGTTATAATATATATATATATATATAATTATATAATATATATATTAAAGTGTTTGTTTGTTCAATGATCCTTTTTTTTTGAGAAATTAAAAAATTAAAGGTTGAAAGTCACTTTTAAACCCTTGGCACATTTGACGGGTTGTTGATATCCATCGACGACGATCGCCAATAGGGTTTTAAAATAGTATGGGCCCAATATGCTATTAATTTTATTTTTAAGGCCCTCGTCAAGATTCTCCCTTTACTTAGAGTAGATACTTGGCAAATAAGTTGACTTTTGGTAAAAGTGCAATCTTTGTTCACCATTCAACCCATGAGAGAAAATTCGGAGAAGGAGCACAAGAACATCTTAATAATTGATCTTGGAAGCCACGCGACAAAGAAACCTTCAAAGTCAATTTTCTCTGGATGGCGAGACGACACCAATTGTCTCCTCACTGTAATTCTTTAAATTTCCGCTCACTTCGGAAAGCTTTTACCAATCATACCTGTTATTACTATACGATCATTCTCTAACCCTAGTCCGATCATGGAAGTCTGGTTCATCGCCCTCGTCTCTCTCTGTCTTTGTCTTCTCTTCCGAGCCCTATTCAATCTTTCGTCTCCCTCCCGCCTCACACCTCTGCCGCCTGGTCCTTCTCGTATTCCCATCATCAGTAATATTCTTTTTCTGCGCAAATCATTCTTAGAAATTGAATCGTTACTGCGAAATCTTAGTGCCAAATACGGTCCCATCTTCTCTCTTCGTGTTCGGTCTCGTCCACTAATATTTGTTGCTGATCGATTCATTGCCCACCAGGCCCTGGTTCAAAACGGCGCCGTGTTCTCCGACCGTCCCAAGGCCCTTATCACCAGTAAGATTTTTAGCAGCGATCAACATGACATTAGCTCCGCCTGCTACGGCCCCACCTGGCGGGTCCTCCGCCGCAACCTCGCTTTCGAGATGCTTCACCCGGCCCGGATTAAACCCTTTGCGGGTTCTCGTAAATGGGTTTTGGACTTGCTTGTCAGCCGGCTCAAAGCTGATTCTGAATCAAGCAATTCTATTAAGGTGATCGACTACCTTCAGTACGCTATGTTCTGCTTGTTGGTGTTCATGTGCTTCGGTGAAAAGCTTGATGAGAAGCAAATTAGAGATATCGAGCATGTTGAACAACGTGTACTTTTGAGCGTGAGCAGATTCAGAGTGTTGAATTTCTGGCCGAGAATCACTCGCATACTGTTCCGCAAGAGGTGGCAGGAATTGCTCCAGACTCGGAAGGAACAGGAGAGTGTGTTGATTCCACTGATCAGAGCGAGGAAGAAAGCCAAGGAAGACAGGTTGAACAGATCTAAAGAGGATGCTGATAGCTCAGATCAATTTGTTGTGCCTTATGTGGATACTCTGTTGGATTTGGAGTGGCCGGAGGAGAAGCGAAAGCTTGAAGAATCTGAAATCGTGTCTGTGAGTTCAGAATTTCTTAATGCAGGGACAGATACAACAGCGACGGCACTGCAATGGATTATGGCAAATCTGGTGAAGCACCCACATATACAAGAGACGCTTGCGGAGGAAATTAGAGACGTGATCGGTGATAGAGAGGAGAAGGAAGTGAAAGAGGATGACCGGAACAAATTGCCATATCTCAAGGCTGTGATTTTGGAGGGACTAAGGCGTCACCCACCTGCACATTTTGTTCTGCCACATGCAGTGAAAGAGGATGTGGTACTGAATGGTTTCTTGATACCTAAAAATGGAACCATAAATTTCTTAGTGGCAGATATGGGATGGGACCCAAAGGTGTGGGAGAATCCAATGGAATTCAAGCCAGAGAGATTCTTGAACTCAGAGAAGAATGGAGATGAAGGGTTTGATATTACAGGAAGCAAAGAGATAAAGATGATGCCGTTTGGAGCTGGGAGAAGAATCTGTCCTGGTTATAATCTGGCCATGTTTCATTTGGAGTACTTTGTAGCCAATCTGGTTTGGAATTTTAAGTGGAAGGCTTCAAATGACGGTGTTGTTGATTTATCTGAGAAACAAGCCTTCACTGTGATGATGAAGAATCCTTTACAAGTTCACATATCTCCAAGAATTGTCCCCCCAGCACGGTAAGTTGGTATATATAGCAATGAGGCTTGTAAGTGTACAGCTAGTTTTATAGATGTGTATATTTTACTTATTAAGAAGTTGTGAGTCTGACTTTCTCATCTAAACTCTTGATAAATTCAAATTCAGTTTGGTATCTACCTGCCAGAACATTTCTGAGAATTACTATGGTTGTTTCCAGCTTCTTAGACTTCCACACACAGATAAAATTGGTTGATTGTTTGGTTTGTTGAGATGACCCGGAAGAGGAATATCAGATTCATCTTTTATACTGACATTGAAATTGTCCATGTACGTTAAATTATGCATGTTGAGAAAAGTAGTAATTCCTTGCTACGTAAGCTTCCAAATTTAGTTTGAGAGCAATGTTACGTTCATCCCTTATTTGCCATTTTATATCAGAACAGGGAATCTGGAAGTGTAACGATGGGTAGAACAGCCTTT